TTGAAGATTTATGCTGACGAGGTTCAAGCAGTTGATGTTGAAAGTGAAAGAAAAGGGACCGACCTTCCTCCGTTGGGGCAGCTAACCAAAGAATCGATTATTACGCATTATGGGGATGTTTTCAAGCCAGGAAGGGGAAAACCTCTCGGCGATCCTTTGCATATCGAGGTTGATCCAAGTGTTAAGCCTGTATAAAGCCCACGAAGAAGAATCCCCGTAGCAAAAATGGAAAGAGTAAATAAGGAATTGGAAAGATTGTGTGAAGAAGACACGATAGCTCAAGTATAACGCAGCCCACAGAATGGTTATCTAATATGTTGGTGAGAGAAAAACCAGACGGGAGAATCCGAATTTGTATAGATCCAAGTCGGACTGTAAATAAGGCAATAAGAAGACTTGTCTACACTATACCAACTATTGAAGAAAAATTGCCTTTTCTGACAAGTGCTAAAGTATTCACAGTAGTGGATGTTTCAGAGGCATTTCATAATATTGAATTGGATTACGAATCGTCACTATTAACAACTTTTCAGGGTCCAAACGGACGGTATCCAGCCTAGTCCCTGGCCTTCCAAGCGCGGGCGAGTTACAGGCTGTCGTGAACTTGCGGGCTGTCAGTTTCGGAAAATATCCGAACTGGGTCGCGCTGGAAGGCCTAGCAAAATTCGCATAATCAACATGGCGGTGTATTTACGTGAATTGGATTAATCTTTACTATTGTATTAAAATGTAACGAAATGCTTTTAAAACACGTATTATATTTAAATTTTGTATTTTGTCAAGTTGATAAACCTTTCAGGACACCACTGGCACTGATAATTTGTTGGCTTTTCCACACAAAGACTGTGTTGACCGAAATGATTTGTTCAAAAATATAAATATTAACCAGCATTTCTCGACACAGCATTTAAAACCACACACTGGAAGTAATGGTAAGGTTAATGGAACAGAACATTTCACTTGCTAATGAAAGGACCGTTGCATGAATTTATTTTTAGAAAGTACATTGCAGTATCAATACAAATATATTTGTCTTTAATATTATTAATATTTATAATACCAAAGGTTTGACATATACCAGATTTAAGTTTTATTAGTGAAATATATAGTGCCCGACTATCAGTATCAAGCTAACTGAAAAGTCAAGTTGAACATGATACTCATATGCCAATTAAATTTCATTTTATATGCCCAATATATTTTGTTGACAAGTAAAATTGTCTGGCAATAAACAAAGTAAAATACCAGGATGAGAAAATGTATTGAGAAAATGAGAAAAGGTGTTTTGCCCAGAATAACTTACTTTATAATAATATGCCAGACAATTTTACTCGTCGTGGTAGGGTCTGCCTAAAACTTATGTAAGAATAAAACAATCTTATCAAAATCAATTGCAGTGGTTTTGTGTTAATTGGGGGAGGGGGGGGGGGTAGTGATAGGGGGCTTGATGACTTTATTCACTTGTGTTAGAGGCCTGACTAGAGAGAGTACCTTTTTTGTTTTTCAATATGACTTTGTGGTGTTCTGTCACTTTTTTACCAATATTATTGTTTCCTGTCATATGCTGATAAAATTAAGGCTTGCCTTTAAATTACAGGTATTCATGCATTTTAATATAAGTATTACTATATGCACACATACTTATCATGCATTTCTTTGTTTACTTGCACAATAGCCATTCAATTTTCATTCACGCCAATGAAGGTCAATTTCAATGACCTTCCTTGACCCACATATCCTGACCTCAATGTTTTATTAAAATACTACTTCCTTTCAAATCCATGATTTTCGATTCTCAATACTCTATTGCTAGTAAACTGAAAACAAATTTATTCCATATGTGATATGGGGCCATTCCCAAAATACATAATGCTTGTGGGGATAGAAGGGTGTTTGATCAGGAGCTGCAGAGTGTCACAAGGGGGGGTGGCATCACATGAGGGGAAAATTTATCCCTGTCTATAAAAAAACAAGACCTTTGTTGCAAATATGTTGCCCTTAGAAGACAAATCAATGTTTTCTATCAAAATATATTGCCTGAGTGGGAAAGAACCTGAATGGAAAGGCCAAGGTTAAGGCATTGAAATAGTGTCTTGTACATACAGTACATTATTTTTTTGCATAACTTTATTGGGGTAAATAAATGTCTTGTTTACAAATCAACTGCACTAATCATCGGCATCCCCAGGGGTTGATCACCAGGAGGGGGGATTTGTTACTTTTTGTAAAAAAATAATGTCCCTCCATGTAGGGAAATTGTTGCATTTCGACCAGGGAGCATTTGTAATTTACCTAGGGGGGGGGGGGCAATGGTGATTTTGAGAGGGGTCACAATTTAGGGACTATCAAAAATTACCTGAATATTAGGCAGGGAACCTTCAACAAAAACTTTCCCTTAGTTTGTTGCCATGCAAAGTTGCAAACCTTTCATATTCTAAGGATTTATGACTGAAGTTGTTATTAATAGATATGGAAGTTCAATGGTCAAGAATATTTGACATTATAATGCATGTCAGAATTTATTATTCATATTGATAAGAAACCAATACTAATTAAAGGTCAATAGATTTTTTGAAGGGGGAGACAAGGAGTCGACAATTCACCATCTGTTGTTTACAATCATATGGTGGGGGGGGGGGGCAACGAATGTGATCAACAAAAGTGGAGGGGGGGCTCCAGAAAATTTAAATCTAAAAACTGTCATGGCCCTCCCCCTCCTGTAAGTAAATTATAAATGCCCCTAACAGGCACAGTTCACCCCCAGGATAAACCAAAAGGATATCAACATTCACATAGTAGTGTTTATTTAATTGTTCACCTTTCTGCTATACAGTACGATTTTCTATAGAGTTAACCAATTGTATTGTAAAATATAATGTTTCTGTTAGATATGTTATGTTTGCATATTAATATTGCCCTGGCAATGGGATAGGTACTGTAATATGATTTTTGTCATTAAACATTACCCTGTACCCAAGGGCTTTGTCAATATTTTGTTCTGTCAACCTCATGGGAAGCAGAGGAAAGTGAATAAGTTATAAGTGCAAGGGGCATAATATAGATATTTACACTTTCCATTAATGGCATCTTTCCAACAACAAAAATATGAACAAAATATATATAATAAACATTTAACAATTTGAATACTAACTAGTGACTACAGTTCATACAATGAGACAGTCAACTTCTGTGAAAATATAAACAACCACGCGATATTGACCAAGTTACAAGTCCACATAATTTGATTCTTTCAATTGATTTTACACGAGCGACACTGGTCGAATAGCAGCTGATCCAATCACAGATCCAATTTAATAAATATATACGCGGAATATCATATTATACGTACATTTTGCATAATAATTCCTTTAAAAAATTCGACATATATTTGAGGTAAAAATACCAAATCCAAAATCACGAACAAATATACACCAAACTGTTCAGTGTTGACTCCTTAGAACTTGCATATCACACTTTCCCAACATTACATAAGGCAATAGCACCTGTAATTTTTCATCAAAATGCTTCTTTAATACAATTTTTACTGTAAAATACTCACAAATTTATATTAAAAATTTAACAAAAAATTATCGAAGTAAACTAGAGCCCACTCCCAACGCGAAGGACAAATCAGGACAGTTTGCGAATTTTGCTAGGCCTTCTCGCTTCTCGCCTCTCCCCAGTATCCAAATAATACAGCTTTATCCCGGTCAACCTGCAAACCTTATCGATTTCCCCCTAACATAACGAGGCGGAAGCAAGAAGGCCAGGAACTAGGCTGAGAGATTATATTGCCATTGATTTGAATTCAACCATTCCAAACATTGCCATTGTTTATAAACCGCCATGCAGCCTGATGCAGGGCACTATACTGCATTGTTTAAATTTAGCACTTTGCTTCAGAAACAAGTGAGAGCATTTGCTGCCTTGCTGACTGTGAAATTGGGCGATTGGGTCACATGTCTAAAGAACTAAACACTCTTAAATGCCTTTCAAAACCACAAGTACAGAAACATCAAATACCACCTCTGGAATGTTGTCATGCTTTTACCGGTGACCTCTATATAATACGTGTACAGGCATATAAAATCAACAACTTCAGTTGATAGTAGGGAGTTTACACATGTAAGACGGCAGCATCAGGACGACGGCTGTCAATACAATATCATTAATCCTATAGCACAACAGAAATGAATAATTAAAAGTATATCTGGAGTTTCAGACGTCGTCCATGCTCTGTTGACGATGGCAAATGAATATTTTCATGTCTTGTAAAGTACGCTAGCATTTCAAGCCGTGGCAGGTGATTTTTCTAACAGCGTTTATCAAAATTACTCTGAATGTTAAAGCTCTGTTTCACTCGTTCTAAACTGTACTAAATTCATAAGAAAGTAAATACAGGACAACATTTTCATACAATCATTTATTTCAAAAAGTTTGTTTAGCTGTCGTCCTGACACCGCCGTCGTACATGCGTAAACTCCCTATTGACAGGAAGGTTGTGTTTCACATTTTAAAAATTATCTTGACTTTTGAGTCTATAACTGTATCCTTTTGTATTCTTTTATATTCAATATATCATATAGGATGTAGTAGGTAAGGACTGTCCAATTTGTCCAAAGTATAAATCTATTATGGCAAATTATTATTTCAAACTTTATGCTTTCAGAATCAGTAAAGTTTATATACTCTAGTATATTGCTTTTTGATGAAGCCATATTTTAGTATTTATCCAATTTATTTTGAGGAAGGTTTGAAAACTTTAAATTGTACCTGGAGGAAATTTTAACAGGTTTTGCAACTCTGATCTGCTGATCTTTGTGTTTCGCCAGGCATAGTTAGATGGTTAGGATTGGAGTCGTTAATAGGGTCATGATCAAAGAGAATATATTCGATCGTGTGTGTGACATGAAGATAGCACCCATTTTTATGAATCGTGAGCAACCTCCTTACCAGAGTCTTTCTGCAGGCAACTGAGGAATCCATCCTTGTGCCCAGGCCTACTTAGGTCAAATGAGACCTGCTTGGGCACGAAGATACAACAAATCACCTTTCGTCTTGAAACATGAAAATGGAAATCCTAGGCCAAGACAAGTGACATAATTGTTGAAAGGGGTATTGGATTATTCAATGTCTGAGACTTTATTGTAATCAAGCAATAAAACAGAACGATATAGTTGATACCTGCATCTCCCCCCCCCCCCCAA